CCCGTGTGATAACGTCCTATGGGTAGCTATCAGTCAGAAATGACTTGAAGGTGCACACAACAACAGCAGCAACCTCCAGTGTAGGCCATCCTTTACAACCTGCAGACTTGCTGACTATCTAAAGCTGTCCTGGGTGCAGGGACTGATAGATAATAGTCTGAGTCAGGTCTTATCAGGATTAAACCATTGCACCTGTTTTTCATTTGTACTGAAAGCATTTTTGAGCAAGCATATATATAGGAGCTGACGGCTTCTCAGGCAACCTGGGAGGAATGCTTCAGGAGAAGCACGTGAGTTGCCTAACAATTGCCTTCTTCTCACAAGTAGATAATAAAGAGAGCAACTCTGGTTAAGACCAAATGCTTTGGGCCCTTTCATGCTATGCAGCTATGGTGCTATTATTCCACTTTAATTCTCATGGTTCTACTCCATGGAATCCTGGGATCTGTAGTTTAGGGAGGGGCACTTAGAATTCTCAGCCATAGAGTCTCACCAAAGTACAAACCCCAGGATTCCATAGGATGTTGCCATGGAAGTTAAAAGAAGACTATAGGAATGCAATTGTGTAATGTGAATGGGCCCAATTTGTCCAGCATTCTGTTCAAGCAGTGGTCTATGCAAAGTCCACAAGTAAGGCATACAGACAATAGCACCCTCACACTCTCCTTTCCCCCAATAACTGGCACACAGAGGATACTGCCTTTTTTGTTGTTGTTGTGTGCCTTCAAGTAATTTCTAAGATGTGAGTTTGTTCTGTGGGACTGATATTTTATAGAAACTGCTTTTATAACATCTTGGGCATAGAAGTGGCTTTTATAACATGTTGTTGTTGTGTGCTTTCGAGTCATTTCCGACATACGGCCACTCTAAGGCGAACCTATCATGGGCTTTTCTTGGCAAGTTTTTCAGAAGGGGCTTCTGAGGCTGAGAGAGTATGACTTGCCTAAGGTCACCCAGTGGGCTTCATAGCTCAGCAGGGATTCGAACCCTGGTCTCCAGAGTTGTAGTCCAACACCCAAACCACTACACCATACTGACCCTCATACTGCTATAGTGGAGGCAACAAATAGCCATCATGAGCAGTAACCATTGCTAGTCTCATCCTGCCTTCATTTGCCAAGCCCCCTTTAAGGCTGTCTCCCCTTTCTGGCCTTTTCTTCAAAGCAAAACAACTCAAAATACTATAATTTTCCCTCACAGGGGGAAATAGGCTTCCCATGTCAGGACTTAGACCCTCTTCTCCAGTTCTCAGGGTAAGGAGGAAAAGCTGTGTGCATGTGTTTTGTTTTTAATGAATGGTTGTATAGTAATTGTAATTGATGCTTAATTTATCGGGCTTATGTAAATCACCAGGGGCCATCTCTTGTGATGTCACAAGCGATCATCACTAGGTCTTAGATTTTGGTCCTGAAATCAGGGTTGCCAGAATGACAATTGGAGAAAATTCTTGTTCCAGGGGTGGGCAACTGCGGAAGGGCAAGGTACCACCTTAGCACCTCAGGAAAGCTTGGAGGGCCTTATACTCCTCCCACACACAGCTTACATACATACACATG